AGTTGTCCTAGATTGTGCGTGTGGCTTCTGCCTGCCAGCCAGCACCACAATAAGACACCACAGCCTCTGCTCTAGAAGCCCTGGGTCTACTGTTCTCCAGCCCGTTCTGCTCCCGGTGTTTTCAGCCTCAAGAAACCACCGCTCTCCCCTCTGCATCCCTAAGCAGCCAGGAAGACCCTACAGCAGCCCCTTGTTGCTCTGTGACTCTTTTTTCACAATCTTCGAACCTCTTGCCTGGCAGAAACTGAAACTGTCCCTGTGATTCAGAGAACCCCCAGTGAGCTGTAACTCACACGTGGGGTCACCAGCACCGCTGGCAGCCAGAGTCCTTCCAGCTCGGGGATGCTTCCCCCCACCATGAGGTGCTGGCCAGTTCTGAAGAGAAACCGTTATTTCTCTTCCCTTAAGCTCATGGCTTCACTGTTTCACATCAGTTAAAGTTTTACCAGTGAAGTCCTTCTCTGCTCGTTCCCATCCACCACCAAATCCTCCTGCAGACACACGGCACACAGAGACCCAACCCTCACGACACAGCACAGTGGACAAGGTGCAAACCCATGAGTTCTGGGTTCAGCTCTCTGCCTCAGCCCCATCATTTTATATTTCCTCATCCGAGGAAAATGGGGCAACGGCCCAGACCTCTTCCTGCAGGGCTGCAAGGCGGCATTTCCTACTCACACACATAAAGTGCTCCACAATACACAATAAAAAACACCAAGAAAGTAACCAATACCATTAACACACATAAACACGCACTCCTACAGGCAAAAACATTCCCTAATACAAACACGCTTGCTGCCTTGCTGATAAAACACCCGGTGCTCACTTGCTCACTCCCAGCTCGGAGGCTCCTGCAGCATGTGCAATACCAGCAGCCCCCGTGCGTGCACGCACAGACACACGGCCGCTCGACAAACACACGCTTCCGAGTGCTCCAGCCACTTGTGCTCGGTGAAAAATTGTAAAGAGCTGCTTCGTTTCACAGGACTCGCTTGCCCTCACTGAAATCCGGCCCTTTCTGTTTAACCAGCTACTGTCTTTCCCAACTACAGTTCAACCCCCAAATCCTCCAAACTTTTAGCGTTCACTATTCTTTCTCCATTTCTTACCCTATCCCCATTGAGCCATCTGCCAAACCGCTCACTCCCCTGCCCCCCGAGCCCTGCTCTGCACATCTTTCCCGATATACATTCTTTAACAACCTCTTATCTCATAAATTAGCCGAGAGAGAGAGGGATCCCGAATAGCTGAGCTCTGTCGTAACTGTTTCCCTTACGCGAGTGGTAAGCGGGGAGGAAGGTAAGGTTTCTAGCAGGATGCCAGCCAAGGGTCAGACGCTTTCAACTCCCTACTTTTCCTTTGATACAAAATACAAATGCTCTGGGTAAACACTCCTTATACTATGGAAAGACCAAACTGCACTCCTTTACCTCCGCTGCCAGAACCCCCAGCATCCCACGCTCTCTGCCTCCAAGCTTTTCCAGCTGTCTGCCCAAGCTCTCCTCAGCAGGATGGTCCTGGACACCACCAAACACGTTTACCAGCTGTGCTAACACAAACCAGGACAGCGATGATCTTCCTAACGCAGGACAGGCCCACCTGGAGGACACTCAGGCCATACTGCCAGCCAGACTCACACTCACAGCATCTTCATCCCAGGAGGGTGTCAAGTTATGCCCAACCCACCTCTTCTCTCAGACACTGCGTACGCTTTTCCCTAGCCCCCTCCCAAACATCAGAGCAAAGCCCTGGACTTTTCACATCGTTCTTCTGCTTCTCCGTCCTCACGTGCCTCATACCTCACTCTCGAAGAGCAGACAACTACATTCCGGGGAAATAAGGATATCCTGCCCAAATAAATACTGAGCGCCCTCTTTAAGAAAATAAAGGTCCATCTCTTGCAGCTGAGAAAACCAGAGGCAGGCAATTGGACCTGAAATCTTGGGCACGCTTGGTCCCCAAAACCAGCCTTGCTCTGCAGATGGGACCTGTCGCACTGTTGCTGGAGCCAGCCAAATGCCAGAATTTGGAATCAGCACAGACACCGACTCTCTTCCACACCTCAGCCAGCACAGCCCCCACTCCCCAAAAGTCTGCAAAAAGAGACCAGTTAATCCTTGTCTGACACTTTGAAATACCCAGTGCTATACAAGCACTAAAGGATTACTCTTAAATATGGTGGGATTGCTTACAGCAGGCTCAGATCCTGTGCAAATCAGAGTCAAGCAAAGGAAAGGGAATTCCCAAATTATTTCAGGGCTTTTCAGTGTACAGGAAGAAATCTCTTTAGCATAAAATCTCCACTAGGCGAGAAGATGATCTGTGAGAAGAAAAAGTACTTCACTATAAGAAAAAAATATGGTCTGAACACGTGTTCCTCCCAGGAAGGGAATCAGCAGACACCTTTTAAAGAAGTGATGGGGTAGCGAGGAATCAGTTCTACTAATGAATTTATTCCTGTAAATACGTTAATAAACTCTAACAGATCTATTGTTCACCACTATAGTACACATCCAGAAACCATTAATTCTTCAGGACAGCGAGATTCCAGGGCAAATCCGACTCTGCTGCAAAGCTAGCGATTTAAGGCACTGACCTTCACTTCCAAATAACAGAGGATCAGTTTGGCCACATACTCCTTCAGAGCACCACGATTAAAGCGTGCACAAAAGGAAAGAACCTTGTTTCTTCACTCGCTGCATAAACTGAACCGAGCAGCAATCCTTCGTGGTAAAACTTTCTCCTCTTCCCCTCTCACCCTCAAGCACTGTGTTGTAACAGATGTTCTTTAATAACACCACCAAAGGGATCTAGCTGCCCAAATGAAATAAACAGCCATGTTGGGCTCCACAAAAAAATTAAGATCAGAGGAGTTCTGAAAAGGAAGTTATAAAAGTAAGCAGATAGCAGAGGCTAAGAAATATCCTTCAGCCCGTTTCCCTCACTCTTGGTTTTTACAGGGACAAGATGGTTTTAATTCAAAAGAGAGAGAAAGACTGAAAGAAAGAAGAAAAATACAAAAAGAAAAAGGCAAAGGTAAAAAGAGAAAGAAGGAAAATGAGAGAAAGAATGCCAGAATGACTGAAGTTGGCAGGGACCTCTTGAGGTCATCTTGTCCAAGCCCCTGCTCAAGCAGGATCACCCACAGCACCCAGAAAGAACAAAATAGACAGGAAAAGAAAGAAACCTTCCACCCTATAAAAAGATGCTCTAGGGGAAAGAGAGAAATTCCACTTCTACAAATGAAGAGACAGAGAGTTGAAGTCTAATGCCAGTAAATAACGTCGGGGTGCTGAGCAAGGGCTGTGCAGGATGCCGGGGAGGTGCTCAGCGCCCAGAGAACTAGAGGTGGGTGGGCAGGATTTAGGAGATTCATCCAAGTGAAACCCTAAAAACAAAACAAGCCCCCTGAAGGCTGAGGAGAACACAGGCTGGGAGCACACGATAAGAGCCTGCGTGGCGAGGCTTCCCATCCTTGCTAATCCTGTCGCTCCCGGGAATCCAGAATCATGGCTAGAACAAACAGGGGATGCTTTTTCCTTTGAAGAAGAAGAGATGCGTTACTGAGACATCACACGGATGCCAGAAGAGAGGAAAGTGAGAAGTAAGCAGCTTGAGCCTCTGTTCACTCTCAAGACCATCTTCTGTTTGTGGTGCATCTTTGCTTTCCTCCCCAGGTTACGTCCTTCCACCAGCCAAAGAAACAGAAGGGACACAGTCCTCCCACCCCAACCGCCCCAGGCCACGCTGAGTGAGCAGCTCAGCGGAGCAGGCGGCACGCTGCCCGATCCCACCGCAGGCGAAGCACAGCACGAGGACTCCGGAGGGAATCCAAGCTCCGGAGCTGACCCATACACACAACCTGCTCTCCGTGGACCAGGGTCCACCCCAGCAGACCCCAGCTCTGCCACCGGCAACAGGACCTGTTGACACAACGGAGCCTCGCCAGGATGGGCGCGTTGTTCCCCCTCGACCAGTGCATCCGTGGGCCAGGGGCTCACACCAAGGTGTGCAGCCTGTGCAACCGAAACCTCCGCCTGGTAAACGGCCCACCAGAGAACAAGGGCCACGCGGTGCAGGGCGCAGCACCAGAAAGAGAGAAACAAAGACAACGAGCGAAAAAGAGAAGCAACAACGCAGTCAACAAGGAAGAGCGAAGCGTGCCAACAAAGCCACACTGGGAAGAAGAAACACTGAGCTGAGGGAGAAACAACAAAGGGCATCGGGGTCCCGACGCCTCCCCAGCCGCACCGTTCAGCCCTACCAAATCCGCAGCTGCCACGAGCAACCGTGGTTCACCCCTGCTTGACAGAGAGACCAAATTCTCTTTACAACCGCTTTTCCACCCTTGGTTTCAGTAAAAGCTGCCTTTGGTTTGCACTGATGGGAAGGAGACTGATCCACAGATACGTGGTGCCCGAAGGGGTCCGGGCTCTGGCTAGACGGCACTGGCCTACACATGCCGATTAAGAGATGGTGTGGGGTCTGCTGCTGGACACCGCTGCCGTAGGATCAGCTATCTTCTAGACCAAAGAGGAATGACTTCCCCAGCGAAGCGCACAGCGGCAAGCCTGCTTCCAACACGCTGTGCCCAGTAGCCACGGCTCGGGACAAGCAGAGAGGCTGCCGGTCCCGAGGCAAGCAGAGAGGGCGGCCAGGAGTTTGGCCCCGTGGCGACGTCCGCGATCCGTACGCCAGAGCCCGCGCCTGCTCCGAGGACCGGCGAGGGCCGTACCGAAGTCCTCGCCGGGGTGGCGGCAGGTACGACGCAACGCGCTCCCCGGCTGTGCCGGGACCTCCGGCTCAGGACCCCCGACGTGACCGCGGCGCACCGGAGGACGCGTGCCCACCACACCTGGATTCTACGTGGGCGCGGGGGGACCCGGTGCCGCTCCGACGCCGGCCGAAGCGGTCGCCGTACCTTGCCTTTGGCCTCGGTCGGTGGCCACGGGCCACCCCCGTGGTGGGAGAGGACCGGGCCGTAGCGGGACAGCCCTTACCTTCAAAAAACCGCTGCAGAGCCTCCGTCTCGTCCACCACCTCCATAGCTGGGCCATGCACCAGGCGGCCGGGCTAGTCTCCGCGCTTGCAGGGGGGCATCCCCCCGGGCAAGCGCCGGGGGGG